GTGGCTAAAGCATTTTCAAGCCATTATCAAAATACATACATACATATATAGATAGCCTCGAAAGGGCTTGAGTGCGAGACAAAATAAACCAAAATTGCGATAACATTACTCAACATTTATCAAATGTACATATGTATGTATGTATGTACACATCTAATACCTATTTTGTGTTTACATTTTAATTATGTATGTACATATTACCTACAATCTAGGTAGGTATTAGTTTGACAATGTAGGGAGCCATTAGCATTTGTAATTTGAAATTTGTATTTTTTGAGAGAGTTATTATTTAATGATAAAAATTATAATTGTGATAAAATGATTTATAGCTAACTTTCAATATTTTTTATCGGATTTTTAAAGAATATTTTCGGAACTTAAATTTTTTATTGTAATTTTTGGGTTAGCATTTTTCTGTTGGTATTATTTTTTACACATGCCTTTACTATTAAATCAAAATGTCTAAGGACCGTTTTCGGAGGTATGTTTTAAAATTCATCTGCCCCTTAAACATACATTTTGTTCTGAAAAATGTGTTTGAAGTGTAGATAAATTTTAAAACCTAAGTACTTGAAAAAACGGTACTAAATATGTACATTAGACTGCCTCAAGAATAAATGGGATTTTTTTTTGCAAATTTTGACATGCATACCCTCTATATTTGTGCTTTTTAACCCAAATAGCATATTTATAAAGTTTAATAGCCGTAGGATAACGATAACCCGTGCCGACTTTTAGTTAATACATAACTTGAATTAATCGTCCATGAAAATTTTGGAAATGCGAGAAATTCGATATGTTTCCCATATTTGAAGGCATTTGTAGTAAATCTGCAACTTAAAATTTTTAATAGGATGACAGGAAAAAATAATAATTAAAGGAAAATATCCTTTGCAATTTTTATCCTTCAATATCCTTATATATATCTATAGGATTTAAAACAATCTAAAATTCTTCAAAATTTATCTAAAATTATATACCTTGAAGGATAATATTTTTAAATGACATTTTTGACATGTTCCAAAAGGATACTTGAAAACGAAAGTTATAGTCGGCACGGGTTGCCGTGGTCCGAATTGCATAAAATTTAATTTGGATAGTTTTTAAGGCAAAACCAATAAAATAAGGGGGTTTCCCCGAAAAAAAAAGAACTTTGGTTTCTAGGGACAGTCTAATTGTACATATGCAATAATGAAAATCCTAAAAAACAGTAAATATTTTCGTAGTACTTAAATATAGGCCACATCTTTTTCGAAGAAGCTGTGCATATATTTCTAGCAAAACCTGCGTGCCTCTTTGCAGTTATTTACCTATGGGTTAAAAAATTTTGATAACACAAAATTTCTTTTTCTTTTTTTTGACGAGTTTTTAGTTATATAATAAAATTATTTATTTTTATGGACATAAACCTTTTGAAGAACCAAACAGTATAGAAACGTAATAGTAATATTAATAGATTGGCGCTTAAACAATACTTATGTATGTATGTTAGTGCTTGGTTCTCCTCCGATTTGAGGCGTGCGGGGAAGAACCTACAGTTTTTCGCTGATTCCGAACGGCGATTAAATTTTTATGAGAAGCTTTTTTTTCATGGTAGAATACACTTGGAGGTTTGCCATTGCCGGCGTGTTGCTGGAGTGACAGTCCTTGGCCAGATGTAAATCTGGATCTTTCTGGTTACCTAGACCCGACTGTTGTGGGAACAGGGCTCGAATGGTAGCACTACACTACAGCGGCCGCCATAACACAGACAGCGTGTCTTCCATATAAAAGAAAATTTCCGAACATACTTTGTATGGAAAAAACAATGCGAAAACCCGTAAAAAATATTCTTAAAAACCGACTTTTTAGCAACTTGAAACTAGCACTTCATTATATGTATATACCATGATAAAAACATAGCAAGGTATAACCGTTCTCTCAATTTGTCGGCCATGATTTTTTTTTTGAAGTTTGCCAACATTTTAAAATCATATAAAAGTGAAAATAAACAAGTAAGAAAGTCTAAGTTCGGGCGGAGCCGAACATTAAATACCCGGCGCAAGTATTAAATATATGTTTTCCACCTTTCCGAAAGCTACCGCTAGATGATAAGCCGGGGTGTATACATTTTAAGTAAATTAGCGTCCTTAAATTTCAAAATATTGAAATTTCAAGCATATCTGAAATTTACCGTTATATGAAAAGCGGCCTAAATTTTAGTCCGATTTCAACAATTTTCAACGGTTTGCTTTTACGTGGCAAGCACAATAACCATACCGAGCTTGGTACAAATTGCTAGAACGGTTAGCGAGATACATATATATGATCACAAGTGGGCGGTGCTACGCCCATTTTCCAAAATTTTGTCATAAACGTATTTCTTGGTAAAGAATTGTTGCAATCATCAATTTTGAATAAATTAGCTTCAATATTTACTGATTTATCGAAGATTTTGTATTTCTCGAAATTACCGTTATATGGGATGTGGGCGTGGTTATTGTCCGATTTTAGAAATTTTCGGCCAATTGGTATGCTGTACCAGGACCAACAACTGTGCCAAGTTTGGAAGAAATTGGTGTAGCGGTTACCAAGATATACGCGTGGCTACGCCCATTTGCCAAAATTTTGTAATATTCTTATTTTTCGTCTAAAACTCATTGCAAATATCAATTTTGAGTGAATTATCTTCAGTAGTTACTAAAATATCGCAGTTTTCGTTTTTCTGAAAATTACCGTTATATGGGAGGTAGGCGTGGTTATTGTCCGATTTTTAAAATTTTCGGCCATTTGGTATGCTGTGCGAAGGCCAACAACTGTGCCAAGTTTGGAAGAAATTGGTGCAGCGGTTACCAAGATATATACATGTAACCATAAGTGGGCGTGGCTACGCCCATTTTCCAAAAATTTATAATATTCATGTTTTCCGTCTGAAACTCATTGTAAGTATCAATTTTGAGTGAATTATCTTCAGTAGTTACTAAAATATCGCAGTTTTCGTATTTCTTAAAATTACCGTTATATGGGAGGTAGGCGTGGTTATTATCCGATTTCGCCCATTTTCAATACCATCCGTCCCACGCCCAAAAGAAGTTCACGTACCAAGTTTCGTTAAGATATCTCAATTTTTACTCGAGTTATCGTGTGCACAGACGGACGGACGGACGGACGGACGGACGGACGGACGGACGGACAGACAGTCACCGCTTAATCGATTTCTCTTTTCATTCTGATCATTTATGTATACATTTGTCTATATCTATCTCGATTCGTTTTGCCTGTTACAAACAACCGTTATGTGAACAAAGTTATAATACCCTTGTGCACAAGTGCGCTCGGGTATAAAAATTGAAATTGTTCGAAATTGTTGTTGCTTGAGATTGAAAATGTGTGACGTTTCCAAACAATTTAATTTTTAAATTTCCTCAAAAAACTCACACACACATTTTCATTTTCAATCTCAAGCAACAACAATTTCGAACAATTTCAATTTTTTATCTTCACTTTTATATGATTTTAAAATGTTGGCAAACTTCAAAAAAAAATCATGGCCGACAAATTGAGAGAACGGTTCTACCTTGCTATGTTTTTATCATGGTATACACGACATTGAGCTATAAAGCTACATACCAAAGTATTTTCTAAAGATTCTCTTTAAAAAGTTTTAAATTTTGGTGAAACTTTGGAGAATTTTTAAAATTTTTGTACAAAGTTTGAAATATGATTTTTACGGTTTGTTATGTAACCAGCTAGTCTTTTATAAAAAAAAATAATAAACGTCAAGTAAGCAAAAAACCAATAGCCAAAAATGGTTTAAATATCGTACTCCCATTATTTTCTGGACAACTGTAGGTATGTATATGCAATTGACTCAAATGAAAAACAGAATTCTCGATAAGTAATCGAAACTTATCAAATCAGCACCAGTAAAAATTAGTCATGGTTATACATATGTATGAGTAAATAAAAACCTAAACACAGCATAATTGTAGTAAGATAAAGTACATAGTTGGCACTTTTTATCGCCTTTTTTTCCTTGTTAGGTACCAAATAAAATATAAAAATACCTACTGGGGCTGTGATTGTGATTTTCGTAATGGGTTTGATACATGTTGTTCAAATCGAAAAGCACTGATTGTATGGATGCATAATAGATTTTTATTATATTATTTGATAAATATATATATATTATTTGGGGTAGCTAAATTCGAATCTGAAGTCGAAATAAAAAAAAAAAAAGAAAATGACCGATCCAATTAGGCGCCCACAATTAAGAGAAACATGTCGTTGCCTTAATATAGAAAGGCCCTATCTGACATCGTCGCTGATTTACAAAAAGTCGTAACTAACTAAAAATCGAAAATTTACGTTTTAATTGATTATGATGCATTTGATCGAATTATGTGGCCTCACATCGTTTTATGCAATACAAGATTTTAGTTAGTTACGGCTTTGTGCATTTCAGCGACGATGTGAGATAGGGCCTTTCTATATTAAGGCAACGATGTGTATTTGAACTTAAAAAATATTTATTACAGTCAAGTAGATACTACTACAATTTGAATTTGAAATTCTTAACTAAAAAATTTTATTGAATTATAATATAATCATGTGTAAATGTGTCTTACTTAATTGATTGAAAAAAAATTCAGAAAAACTTTCAATATCATTTGAGTAAAAATCACGTCTTAAACAAAATGTCGGAAGCGGTCGGATTTAATATTTACTTTTATAATATAATAATAGATTGGCGCTAACACATATGTTAGTGTATGGCCAAGCCTCTCCTCCGACTTGTAGCGTGCGCCTTGATGTCGTCACACAAAGCGGAGGGACCTACAGTTTTACGCCGACTCCGAACGGCGATTGTATGGGAAGCTGTTTTTCATAAAATAAATAAATAAATAATAATAACC